GTCTGCATACGATCCAAACTTATTTTTAATGACAAGTGACTGACTGCGTAGAAATCTTGGGCAGTTGTAACAGCTGAAAAGCTACTGAATACTTGGCAATAAGGGTGGCTTAATGCTTAGCCAAGCGACTTTTGTTTAGCGGAAACAGGATGAGAGTAAGTAATGGGGAAGAGAAAAGCCGGATAGTAGAAATCAAGGTTTTATTCCTTAGACTCATGCTCTGAAGTATCGTCATAGAAAGGAAGGGGTATAGGAGGCATTATGGATGAGTCGCTATGTGGCGGTAAGCGGCCCTGCATAGTTGCACCTTGGTTGTGTTTAGAATGATCATACCCGACTCATGCGATTCCCACTTTAACCTCTCCGAGTATTTTACCTCCACGCGGTCGGTGGGATTAAGCACACCTTCCGTACCAATCATCCAACTGCAAGTATCGTTAATTCCCGCAGGTAGTGTTTAATCTTTGTTTCAAGTCTAGGAACATATAAGTACCATTACATTCTGTTTATAAGTATATGGCAGTGTTAGTATTCACAGTTATGGCAAGGGGGCCCAAAAGTTATCCCATGTTCTTACTAGGATAACCCGTGATATAGGCAAACCCACCATCAGCATTATTCGAAAGACAGAAGTGAGTTAGTAGTGAACAGACAGTCAAAGTACTGTTGTTACGTAATAAAATTGTAATGGTCTTCTTGCGAAAAGTTACCCGCTAAAAGTTATCGTATACTCTTATTTCGTAATTTTTTCTACCAAGTGAATAAGTTGCCCACTGAACGAGAGTTTGGGTTACTGGCCGAAATGTAATATCAAAAGTAGAAGACGGAGAATAGCAAGTTGATTCATAAAATTAAAGTTTAATGGTAGCAAGGATACGACATTAAATAGGATAAAATATCGGCCTTCCGCATTGACGACAAAGAATTCACGGGGATTTGAGACTTTTCAAAATGCAGTCCACCGTAGATTTTATAAATAGCAGTGCGGAAATTTGAAATATTTCAGAGGTTCGCGCTTAACCGTGTCTGGGCGGTTCACCAATGAAATCAGAGATCAACGAATTTTGGTAATTTCCCATATCTTCAAATGTACTTTTGTTTTTAGAGGCGAAGTTGTGGGTCCAACACTCTATTTCAAGGGCAAGGAACTTAATTTCGGTTTGGTGTCATATGGTAGGTCTACCCTTAATTTTTTCCTTGAAAGATTTTGTGAATAATTGTTTTCACTCGTACTCTTTAATATTCCACCCCGACTAAATGCCTCGAACCATCTGATGACCACTTTGTGTATCTAAAGCATACATGCTGAGGTGGCAATGAGTTTAAAAAACGTGCTTAAGAGTGTGCCTCGCAGACAACATTGAAAGCTCATGTTTTAGTAAGCGCGATCTCTTCAGTGAAAATATCTGTTAGTGCAAGGTACATAAAGTGCGGATGTAAAAGAGATATTTTACATGGACCAGGGAAAAAAATATACTATCCTATGATGTAAAGAATTGAAAATTGTTCTAATTATCAGAAAACAATGATATTATTTACATGTTCTTTCTCGCCTTTTGCTTTACCTGATCGAAGCAATGGTTGCAAAATATTTTAAAGTGAGGCAAGTTCCCTGTGGTAAAACTCACAATTTTAGATTTCTCTCTTCTCAAACAAAAACACGCGCGAATGCGCAAACTGAGTCAATGATAGATTTTAGCATAAGAGATCATCGCAAAGCAGGGTAATGTTGATTTCCGCTCGAAATGGTAAGCATTGTGACCGATAAAATTATTTACCAACATAGTCTACCTGCAGAAAAAGATATTTCTTGGAACGGGTTACGCGAATTAATACTAAGTGCAGCCTATTAGTTGCCAATAGTTTATCACCTTAATTTATGTCGTCATTTTTCAGGGGTGGGTTACATATTGTAATTGAGGCTTTATTTTATGCTTCGCGAGTGAGAGTTCTCACTCGAAACTCTCTTCTCTGGCTCTTAATCTGTTTGCCTTGCGTAGTTGACGTCCTTTTTTCTAAATTTTGGCCTTTAACTGCTAATTATTTCTAGACCTACTCTCATCTCTAATAACCCCAAACAAGAAAGTTTGACCGGGAAAATGTTGAGATCAGTGGGAATATCAAACGTTTTCCTGGTTTCAGTATCCATCCTAACGATTGTATGCAGCTCCAGTCATCGGTTGTATTCGGATTGCATATTTTTCGTTTCTGATATTGTATCGACTTAAATCCGTGTAGTAATTACATCTTGTGTGTGATGCCACTTACAGTAGAATGAAATCGACAGAAGGTTTCTAAGGTTTTCTGAATGCTTTGCAACACACGCTCCTCATTTTCTGACTTACTGAATAGGCTTTCCCGGTCGTGGAAAACCACTGCGAAAACCATTGTATTTGAAATTTGAATCCAGTGATATGTTGCTGGTTTCGTGATCAAATACTTAAAGTAAAAGTTACAACGGTTTTGTCCCTGAACTAGACCTCCAACGGTTTGTAGTAGTTTCAAAAAATGTTCTGAAATAATATTCAAGTAATACTTCTATGAAATCTGTAGTAAGGTCTAACACGAAATTGAAAACAAAAACAATTATAATTTTGTAAGCGGAAACGCGCTGTTTG